TATGTATAGTTGTATTTTCATATTCTTAGTTTTGTTTCATTGAAAATGAAGTTTATCATTCAGGTGTTTTTCCTTTGATCTTGGTCTTGTAGAAATAGTTTCTATACCGTGTTGTTTCACTGTCGTATTCTAATGTTGTTGTTTGCGTTGACGGATTGCTGTCCGACAATATTTTGCAATGCTTGTTCTTTCTCCCGTGGAATGTTTGACATAGCTAAGCTGCCGACGTATTTCCTGTTTATCACAAGGAGATATGTGAAGGCAAACACATACGTGTTGCATATATCATCGCAGTTAGAGCCTAGAAGTTTATTATTTTTGCTTTTTCTCTCACTTGACAGTGAAACAACATCAAGGTACTACGGGATTATTAGGCGAAGATATGGGTGCGAGCGATATGCTGGAAACGCCGCGGGTGCGTACGCGGACTCCCAGGGTCAAACGCGGTGCTGAGCAACAAAACAATATGTTTGGCGAAGACGATGACGGCAGTGGCCCCCTGCCATCCGTAATTATTGCGAGTGGACCCAACGAACACGATTTAAATGATGAAGTACACGTCAACGATCACGACGTAAACGAACCAGAATTTGTATCCGATCATGTCAGCGGACATGTCGACGACCTTGAACACGGACATGACACACAAGTACACACGCATCACCATAAGATGGACAACCCGTACGGGCACGAGCACGATGAGATGCTGGGTGAGCACACCATGGACCCAGTAGTAGACCACACAACTGTGGTGGGCGAACATACAGCGCAACAGCAGCTTATGGACCATGCTCAGATTGCTAACCATGCCGTTCTGTCCGAGAATAATGCCGAGTATGTAGCCATCGTTGCGGCAAACTTTAGTGTGACGTGTTTGCTGCTATTATATTCGATTGCCATCAATCTTCTTCGTAGTTGCGTTTTCAATATCGTTTATTCTTTATTTTGATTCCTATGTGCAGTGGAAATCCGTCGAACAAAAAGAGGAAGCTCGATGAATGATAATATTACATTAAGCAGAACAAAAGGCGAGTGCGATGTTCCGATTAAGATAATAAATAACTATGCTGCCAGATATGAGCAACAGCGGCGGCCCTTCCAAATTAATATCAAGTCTGTCAATATACTATCATTCGCACACATTCAGTCTTATTAGAAGACTTCAGTAGAGGCGTAAATACTTCCCTCCAGCGCTGGTCGGAGTTCACAAGCCATCGCGCGAGCGAGCGAAGTGCGAACCTAGTCTAATTATAAAGAATTGTCTTTCGTCGAGCGAGTTGTACAAAAGAAGACTTGAAATCTACAAAAATATATGACACGGGTAAATCTGCGATACCCCCCAGGGCCCAGGGCCCCAATACGAGAAGGAGGAGTTTTTTAAACTTTTCACTGTCGCTCTTCTCTTTCAGAGAAGGGTCATATAGATGAGGCTTTGTAATCTGGATTCCTGGAAGTTTCCCCCAGAGCCTCAGGCCACTCACAGGGGAATTTTGTTCTCTAAAAAAATCGAAACACTCCTTAGAAAAGTGAAAAATGACAAAGAAGTCGGAGTAGAGAGTATTTATTCTAGATTATTTATATTTTTTTCATAGCTTTTTTTTTCAGAAGTCAGAAGTGGCGTTGCTCAAACCCAAAGGTGTTCTATTTGTTTAGAAAAAAAAACACTCAATTTTCATTTTTTTCAGGGCCTCATCAGTTAAGTTCGATCCCCCATATTTTAGCTAATAAAAGTACATAGCTTCTTGTGAGAGAGAGCATGAAAAATGAATTCATGATACACCATATTTATAAATACTCCAGACAGATTACACTTTTAAAAAATTCACTTTAGAGTTTACACTTTTAACACTTTACAGTTTACAGTGTGCCGCAAGTAAAGTGGCAAGTCGCAAGTCGCAAGTCGCAAATCGCAAGTCGCAAGTCGCATTCGAAATTTCAGTTTTTCTCGTCTAGATTTCTATATTTAAAAAAAAGAAAGAAAAAGAAGAATGCCCCAGACAGTCAACAGTGGGTGCCCGGCCACCGTCCCTGGCGGCTGGTCGCCAGTATTTGTATTTTATCCATGATGGCCCTTTATTTTATCCCCTGTTTGACTATCTGATGTAAATACATATCTGTAATTGTCTCACAAAAGTGATTTTCTCTCTATTCATTATTCAACATAATTACATATGTTTATTTACTATAGCCTTCAAATAGACACTACATAGCGTCATTGCCGTCGTAGCCCTCTAAATTGAACAAAAAATACATACTATTTAGTATTGCTTAGAAAAAACAAAAAAAACAAATACATACCTAGAGTTCTCGAGCCCACTCATTTTACAAAGAGTTCTCGAGCCCACTCATTTTAAAATTGTACAAAAAAAGTCCCCGGGAGTCCAATAAGGACCCCAGATTTAGAGTCCCAGACCAAAATCCTGCCGCACGGGGCCCACAGTCCCACAGACCCACACTCAGTAGCTCAGTCTCACAGTGGCATTGTGGCGCAGCCCCATCACAGTCCACAACTCCCACACTCGCAGCCACTCCTCAAATGCCCTTTACTTCATCCGCAGGAGTTTATTTACGACATTTCCTACGGCCCATGACATTTCACTGATTTATAGGAATATTTCTACAGTCACATCACACATAGGATTTAATTAATATATGTCGTTTTAAATGCCATATCGGTACAGCACTATTGGGAGCACGCTTACGCATTACATACGCTATACGAATGGAATAGCTAAGAATGTAGATTATAGTTTGATAGGAGTTGTGCGGGTTTTACGCGAAACCATAGCTCGATTGGTGGTTGGTCTACGGCGCCGTCGGATGGGTCCCTGGTGAGTGATGGCTGGCTACGCTGTGAACATTTCCTGAAATATTTAGAGGTTTACGTAAACTAATTAATTAATTATTATCATGTGTTCTATCATAGCCCTCTAAATTGAACTAATTGTTTTCAGAAGGCTATGGTTGAATAGTAGTTCTCCGTTCTATGCCTCACTTTGTGAACTTATTTGCATTTTTTATTGTTAAAAAATATCACTAATTTAAAAGAAAAAACTGGTTATCCATAGAAGGTATTGGTTGGTAATTTTTTTTGCGCACTATCCGAACCGATGGCTTCCTAGTAGTTGTCATACAATTAGATAGAATTTTAGTAGGAGAAATTTCCTGGTTAGTAGCTGGTGGCAGCTGTCCATAACCCTAACACAACTGGCCGAATGCTTTTCTCCCCATGAGGTCGATACGACCACATGCGCAGCAGTAGTAGACAACTAGACGTGGCCTTGGCCACTCATGGATCTCTAAAAACAATCCCATGTTTTGTTTTGTAAAACAAAATTAAAACAAAATTATTTTAAAATATAAAAATAAATATTAATATCAACGCTCCATAGCAACAGCACTATGTGCTGTAAACAAATAATCAATGTCACTAAAATAACATTGTGAGTAAAAAAACCATATGTATATATATATAAACAATGCGATATATATTGTATCAAAAATTAAATAAATTCATTGTCAAAATTACGATAAAAGTGTTGGCAGTTACACACGGGTATGACATACATTGCAAAAGAGAAGGATCGTTGGTTGTGAGAGTTTGTGTGTGCACTACATAGTTTAGTCCTCATCCAATAGTATTCGATACGTTCTAGTGGAGGTGGTGTCATATTTATTACTATACGCAAAACGACTTTAAAAAGAATACCATGACCCAATCCACAAAAAAGTTGATACGACAACAGTCAATAGGTATTAGGGGGCTTAGAAAAAGAGTATTTATCCTATTCCTCTTTTTAGTAGCATACTTGATCTACATGCATCGAGATTCATTTACTGTAGACGAACTAGACCATGCCGAAGCGATGTCAGTCACCCACGTGGACGATCACATAAACCACCACACAGAGCGGGACACACATATATCTAGTGATGATAATAGATTACCGGCCTTACCAGCCGGGAGATATGAGGAAGATAAGGGTCGGCCAGAGACGGGAGTCCGAGTCACGAACGTTGTTTTATACAAGCCTTTGGACCAGACAAAAGAGTATCAGCACGCTTTCATGCATAAAGATAGATTGCCGAGACAGGGTATGAGAGCGACTCAGATCAACCCTAATGATACGACAATTGTGCACAACACACGTTTTGGTGGGAAAATCATTACAGGAGAGATGCAGTGCGATGTACCCTGTCTGTGGGTCAATTCAGCGGAAAAAGCGCACGCTAGTGTGATTAACTTGGTTGGGAGTAGTAGTCCAACGACAGCCCTAAAAAAAAATCTGAAGACTTCACCCCAGGTGTGGAATATAGCCTTCTCAATGGAAGGCGAACACAAATACGCTACAATGAGTAACTTGAGTGCTTTCGATGCCGAGATGACGTACAGATGGGCGTCCGAGATTAAGAAATCATACTTTGAATTCAAAGAATACGATATATTCAAGCCGGCTGTAGATTTCGACAGTGCGATAAAAGAGGTCACGTTTCTTGCGCGCAATTGCCAGGAAGACCGCACCGCCATGCTAGACGTTATCGAGCCGTACATACATATTGCAGCCATTGGCAGTTGTCGTAGTAATACCGAATGGGATAAGAATATCCCTCGATCGGACAAAAAGGCCATGCTGCGCAAGTACTTATTCCACTTCGCCTGGGAGAACGGCGTAGTAGACGACTACGTTACCGAAAAGGTATATCACGCGCTTGCCTCGGGCACCCTGCCCGTATACCACGGCGCAAAAAACATCGACAGTTATGTGCCCGAGGGTTCGATTATAAAAATGACAGACTTTGCCAGCCTCGACGAGCTGGGCGAGTACTTAAATATCCTGGCTCATGATAAGGAGGCGTATATGAAGTACCACGAATGGCGTAGCAAGCCTGTACTGGTTGAGAAGTTAAGGAAACGCTTTGCATGGTCTTATGATACCACTGAGTGTAGGGTGTGTCGCTGGACATACGCGCAAAGGTATGGATTAGACTGGAATGCTGACACCCAAACGTTTAGCTAAGGTGTAGGTCACATGCAGACCACAAAACGAAGTACACAGGAAGGTAGGATCATTCGCAAAGCTCAAAGATGGCAGCAAGCGACCAAGAATTGCAATGACGTGCGAATATAACTTTATAAAGGTATTAACGATTGAATACGTGTTGAATACTGCAAAGAATAGCTACAAAGATGAACGTGCTTATATTTACTGATCCATGAACGATTAGGCACATAGCTACGTGGACGGCAGACAGATACACTGATACAAACCTGGTTGTTCATTTGTGCGTGTATCCGGTACGTGTGTAACAATTGAGTCAGAATATATGGAAATAGTTATCATGACTATATCTTACGAAAATATGTATATCTTTCGAGTTCCTATCGATATCTGAAAATCATTCAAAATTAGAGGCGCATATATATACACATATATATGGATACATGTACATGTTTAAAACGTATATATATATATGTACATGAACATATATATGTTTATACGTATAAACAAATATACACACACACGCCCACACACACACACACACACATTTATATATATATATATATATATATTATACACACACACACACACACACACACACACA